CTCCTGGGCATATTTAAAAGGCATATAGGTATTAGGCATGTTGAATGACCCCAGAAAACTTATTACATGAAGTAGAACAGATTATATATGTCCCTGGAGTTGTGTGTGAAGGATTATAACAAATTGACCAAAGGGTGGGCTCCTAGACAAAGAAAAAACAAAGATGAAGTAGTTGCTAGGTAAGCATATACTTTCCTGGTTAAAGTTGGTTTTAACAATGTGCAGCATCTTGATTAAGTTTAATTGGGATTAAAGGAGTGAACTAGTTTGGACTAGGAGGTTGGGTATGAGGCAAAAGTGAACCACCACCCAGGGGAAGTATAAGGCTTGAGAACGCAGATTTGTGAGATCATAAAAAGCCTCAAGTGTGTGTGATGGAATTTGCAAGTTTTTAGTCACAATGCTTCAGGGACTCTCGGGTCTTTGGGAATGCAAAGGCAAAGGTTTTTTTCTATTAAAGGAGGGATGCCCTCAGATACTCCAGGAAATAACCCAACTAAATCATTATTCAAAGAAAATTACAGAATCCTCAAGAAATAACTGTACCTACCTGTCTAAGAAACATCATTAGTAATACCGGTCTTGATCCTGTGTCAGGAGATCTGCAGATGTTGTCCCCTCCCTCCCATCCAACAGGACATTGATAGGTACAGGTCAATCCTGTGCACAACAGCTTAGGTTTCCGGACCTTGATGACCAAATTATTTGACCAAGAACAGTAGAGAAACTTACTAAAATCTGCCCCACTTACAATTTTCAGTATATGAGAAAGTGGTTCTCACAAAAGCAAAGTATCCTTCCAGGAAGGAAGTATGCGAAGACTGAAAATAAGCTTTCAAACACTGCTTCAAATGAAGATAAGTGATGCTTTCCTCTAAGAAGTCATCTGAACTTTTAAGGTTCCATCACACATTAGGGCTTACTGTGGTCATAAAACATGCATCACTTGCCAAACTCATCACATTTTATCATTTCCAAATCAGTAGCATTTACATCTAGGGAAGGACTTGAGAACAGACTTTGAGAACACTGAGTAGCTGTGAAGAAACAAGAGGAAGAAGGAAGAGGAGTGTGAGGGAAAGAAGAGAGTCACTGTGTCCAGCTAAATACAGGTCAGGTAATGGAAGCCATCATAGGGACACAACATACATTGTGGAGATCAGCTGAGCAAAACTTTGCAAGTGAAAGGGGCAGGCAATAGATCAGAGGATTGGTGTTGAGGAGCTATATTCAAAGTTATGCATTTGGTTAGCTAAGAAAATATAGTTTTTAGAGCATTTGGGAAGTCCAAAGATGTGTCATAATGGGGTCTGGATAAAGGAACTGAATGCATCAAACTAGACTGGAAAAACACTAGAGTCTTAAGACGATTGCTCTTGTGGGATTTCCCTCACTTCTTTTTCCATGTACAACAGCTCTTGTAAACACCATCTAGTACTAAGGGAAAGTCTCATTAGCCTCCTTTTGTTACTATTTCTTCATTGATCTTTATTTTTGTATTCATTTATTACTCTGGACTTGCAAGTGTGTGCAGGTGTGCACGTGCTGTTGTGCAGAAATCAGAGGACAACCTTTGGGAGCAGGTTCTAGCCTTATATTGCAGGGTTCCGGGATGGCACTCAGGTCTTTTAGGCTTTCTGCACTCTTACCTTCTGTCAATGGCTCCACTGGTCTTTAAAACCCTAAATGCTTTTGGAATTTTAATTCTATACAGAAAGCATGCTAACAGAAGCCCATTTCAACACCGGCTATCCAGCTCAACCCAGTTGCTTATAAAGATGGGCTAACTTTCCAGACTACTCATAGAACCTGTTTTAGGATCAGCAAGAGCATTACCAACACTGCAAGGACACTTTGTGTACCAGCCTGATATGGTCTGTTTTTAGGAACATTTACTTCTCCATTTGGGGTAACTTCAAAGGTTTATGCTGGTTCCTATAGTCTTTGTGACACACTAACTTTGACACGTCTGCACATACTAAGAAAAAGGATTTGGACATCCACTATCACTTAAAATAAGAGTTTATGTGAAGGCTCTTTTCTTCCAAAGAAAACACAATAAACCCTGTTACACTGTTACTCAATCAGATTCTGACCCCTGATGACCCCACACATACCAGAACAGGAATGAAATCAACACCCTTGAGGTCCTCCCTTGCACAAGTGCACTTTTAAGTACTAACCCTTTTTTTTTTTTTTTGTCATAAGACTTTTTAATACTTACTTCCCAATATCCAACTTCAATATCTTTCGAGTACAGAATTAAAAAGATCAAATGGGAAAGACCCAAAGTATTTTAGCCCTATTTGCACTCAAAGCATTTGATAAAAAAAAAAAAAAAAATTCAGCCTTTTCTGAACTGACACCCAACTTACTGCCATTTGAGGTAGCATTTTCCAACATTACACATCTGAGTTTTAGGACTGCACTATTTTCCCAGCTTCATTTTTCTCTATCTCCCCAGTCTAAAACCTATAGTATTCATGTGGAATTCTTTTCTCAACCATGAATTTTGATTAAAGCTCTGGCTAACTTCCATTTAGTTGTCTGGGATAGTTTGTTATAAATTATCTCTAAAGTGTTTTGTGTTGCAAAGTTCAGATCACGAACCTCAGCTGAATAACCTTGGAAAATCCATCCCACTTTTGGACTAACCCAGCAGCAAAAAAATACAATATCCTTATGAGCTGCTCTGAGAACCAAGTAACATACTATAAAGCTCCATGTGAGCAAAACCATGTAGGTATCTTGTACACTACTTAATTCTAAGTGCCGGATGCAGGCAACAGCAAGGCACAGATTAATTCAATCAGCTCCACCTACTGAGCAACAGCTCAATGCCATGCACTCAATTAAAAGTAGCTAATGCTAATATCAGTATCTTTCATTTGCCACAATTTCCAATCTTCTCACTATATATTCACTCTATTAAAATTTTCATCTTCAGATGTGGTTCTAACAATCACTGTGTAGTATGTGGCAATTTTGCTCTATCTCATTTTAAGCAAGTCTGGAGAGACAAGGTTTCAGCAAAAATCTCACAAATTTTATCCCAATATCACTTTGGGAAATACAAGGTTAACAGAAAAAAATATTAGTATGGGAATGGTCAGCCACTAAGGGAACCATGATAATATAGTTATCATAACCAATGCTGAAGAGCATTACTATACTTAATGAATAGTCTAGTGTGGCCATTACCCATTAGCTTCTCCGTCCAGAGTGCACTTATGGCTCTAGGGCAGAGATATTTGAGTTCACCTACTGCTGGGTATATACCTATTCCTGGGGACCCTTAGGTAGGATTTCCAGTTCTAGACCTACCTGGGCAACACAGCAAGGCCCTATTTCAGAAGTTTTATGAAACCATTCCAAGATTGAAAAAGTAAAGGCAAAAGGTTTCAAGTGATCATAGTGAGTAGAAAACATATACATGATTGTGATTTAGACTTAGGCTGGTCTCACCAGCATATTTTCTAACAGTAAATTCACACTAATGAAGGTGAAGTTAATTATGACACATACAAAAATTCACTTTAAGTCTTTGGAAGAGTATGCACCTTGGCTTAATTTGGAACAGTTCTTTCAGCATGTTTAAGATTGGAGTCTGACCAGGCCTGGTGGTGCATGCCTTTAATCCCAGCACTTGGGAGACAGAGGCTATCAGGTCTGCCAGTTTCAGGTGAGCCATGGCTACGAGATGCAACCCTGACAGAAAGAAAAACGACTGAAGTCTGTAGACAAAAACAACAACAACAAAAACACCAAAAAACAAAACAGGGGGGCAGGGTTAGGTGGTAGGGAAAGGTGTAAAGATAAAACAACGCGATAAAGGAAATTTGTTCTCACCAACATGAGTTAAGGGTAGTAAGACGGAAAGAGGAAGGCAATTACGAAAGCTTGAATTAAAAGCCTCAAAGTTGAGGGCTGTGGAACTCAGATACAGCTGGATTCCGTACTCAGTAACTGTTAATCAAGCGGGGTGTGTGGCTTGGGCCTGTAAATCCTAGGAGGCACAAGCAAGAGCATGAATTTAAAATCATCCTTAATACTACATGGCAAGTCTGCAGCAAGCCTGGACCACAAGAGATTACATTCACAAATAAGTCACTTGGCTTTGTAACTACCAAAGAATTCCCTCCCCACTCTCTTCTTGGCCCCATATGGATCGCTTTTCAGCCCCTGCCTCCCACCCCCCCACTATGTAACACTGGCTGTCCTGTAACTCAGAGCCTGCTTTCCCGAGTGCTGACATTAAAAATGTGTGTCACTACGCCCGGCCAAACTTTTCTTTCACAGGCTGTAGTAACTGCCCACATCGGTGAAAATACGTCAGTAAAAATAAGACTGCTGCTACACAAAGAAATGATTTTAGGGAGGCCTTGTTTGTAAGCTAAGTGAGGGGAGGCATTCGCTCTACGCTGAGATTCGGGCTGCGAGGGCGCTTCCCAACGCAACCAGACGCTGCTGCAGCACACTTCTCAACAGGTCGAGCTTGACGCCTGGGATCGGGTAAGGCGAGAATCTGCCTTGGCGGCTTCGGCTACGGCTGCGGCCACCGACGGGCACTCGACGTCTGTCGGTCCGAACGCTGGGTCGCGGGGGCGGCCGAGGTCCTGGCTGATTCGGATCGAGACTAGTAACCAGGAAGCTGTCTCCGGAGACCATCGCCCAAGCCATGGCCGACGGGTTGAGATCTCCTTGGGAGGACCGGTAGGCCACCCTGTTGGCTTGATCGCCAGCGGACAGCGACAACGAGCTCTGGGCCATCTTCAAACACCGCCCGCAGTGTTTGCTAGACGTACGTCGATCAAACTGGGCCCTAGGCAGCGCCGCAGATCACTCCAGCCCGCGTCGGACGCAACCGTCACCGACCCCAGCCGCCATTTTTAGTGCAACGGCGGAAGCAGCAGCCGCCGGAAACAAGCGCTTCCCCCGCGCGCATGCGTGGCGTGCCTGCGCTCGCGACGGGCGTTTACGTCGTGACGCCTGAAGTAGAGGACGTGGGTGTTTCTGAGAGTGCGCAGTAAGGTCGGTCGACCGCGAGCGATCAGCCTAGGCCGGGGACTGGAAGCGACGCGGAGATGGGGGCGGCGGCCGCGGAGGCCGACCGCACTCTGTTCGTGGGCAACCTGGAGACGAAGGTGACGGAGGAACTCCTCTTCGAGCTGTTCCACCAGGTAAGGGGCGGGCGCGGTCCTAGGGCGACTGCGGCATCCACGAGGCCAGCTAAGGAGCGGCGCGCGCCAGGCCGGAACACTGGGGCGTTCGGGCCAAAAGTGACGTCTGATGATGGGTGCATGTGCGTCTCTACCCCGGTGGAGTCCAGGGATCCGAGCTGGAGCCTCAGCATTTCCTTCCCTTTCCCGCGTACCTCGCCTTCCCTCGGAGTTAACTGGCCTTAGCGTCGTCGCACACGTTGTGTTTCCGCTTCTCTCAATTTCCGCTTAACTTGCGTAAGAACTTGCGGACATGAAAGTGTTTTTAAAACTCTTTTAAACACAGTGTGGGAAAGCAGCGTTGGAGGAGTGTTTATCTTAAAAGTGCGAAAAACTCGTCCTGCCCTATGGCTCAGTAGCTGGTTGTATTTGATTGCTCGGTGAGGAAAGCTGCTTTTTTTTTTTTTTTTTTTTTGGCGAAGAATCCACTTTGGTAAATGAGTTCATTGCTATGCGGTGTTGGTTGCTTTGTTAAGACATCACACAGTCATGTGAGATGTAGTTCAAATATTGTATTTTCTGTCCTTTATAAATATTATAATATAATTAAAACTTTCCCCAAATTATCTCGGTTTCAGTCAGAACTAGAATTGTTATCCTTAGTAAAACGGGAGATGTCCAGCCCTTGTCAGGACATTTTGTTTTTAATGAGATCCTGATTACATACCTTTTGTTTAAAACTGTGTGTTCTCTTCTTTATAGTAATGAAACAGAGAGACAGTCTCTATAGCCTTGGTAGCCCTGGAACTCCGAGGCTGACTTTGAGCTGATCCTCCTGCCCGCACCTCTTGACTACTGACAATACAGGCATGTGCCACCACGACAGGCTTGCATTCTCGTTTATTTCTGAAATTTAAATGTTTTCCTGAAATTGCCTTGTTTAAGTTCTAAACTCTTTTCTTCGCAGGCTGGACCAGTAATAAAGGTGAAAATCCCGAAAGATAAAGATGGCAAACTGAAGCAGTTTGCATTTGTGAATTTCAAACACGAAGTGTCTGTTCCCTATGCCATGAATCTTCTCAATGGAATCAAACTTTTTGGGAGGCCTATCAAAATTCAGTTTAGATCAGGTAATGGTTCGTATGTATATATATATATATATATATATATATATAAATGTGAGTGTTTTTTTTTTTTTTTTTTTTTTTTTTTTTTTGCTTTTGCTTTCAATTTTACTGTTCCAGTTTGGTTTTGGTTTTTGAGACAGGGTTTCAGGTATTCTAGGCCAGCTTCAAACTCCCTGTGTAAGGCATGTCAAGCTTCTGCCTTCCAAGTGCTAGGTTTCTAGGTGTCTGCTCCATACTGCTATTTTAAAGACTGGAATTAGAGAGTTAATGATGGTGAAAATACTTTAAATTTTACTATTTCCCAGGGTGCTTTGTGATTCACAAATTTTGATTTTGTTGCTGCTGTTTTGTAAGGATAGGATAAGGCTTTTCATGGATAAGGCTAATCATGCGGTTTAGTATGGAGATGAGAATGCCATGGCCAGATTGGCTGTTTCTACATTAAGTAGTATCATGTTTGGAATACTTTCTTTTGCATTGCTTGTATTATGTACTGTGAGACAGTCTACATGGATTTGAGTGGTGGGTTTTTTTGTTTTGTTTTTTGCTTTAGTTTGGGGGGAGTTGGTGTTGCTTTTAGCTGTTTCTCTGTTTTGGGGTAATTTAAAGGAACCATTTCAAATTGTTTGGCTTTTTGGTTTTCGATTAGAATTTTTGAAATTGCCTCATTTTAGGAAGTAGTCACGCTTCTCAGGATGCCAGTGTGTCATACCCCCAGCATCATGTTGGAAATTTAAGCCCAACCTCCACATCTCCAAACAGGTACTGTTTCTCATTCACTATTAAAGTTATTTATCAGAAAGTTTCTGAAGTAATGACTTCAGAATGCACCAGTGAATCGCTTCCTTCCTAACTCTTCTGCTGCTTTGCTGCTGGTCGTGCTAGACTAATGTCATGCCTCTCTTCTAAGGAGACTGGAGGCATATGTGGTTCTTCTGCATTAAATTAAATACTGTAGTCATGTGCCTCTATAAAGACATGTCCTACCCACATGTACGTGGGTGAAATTGAAACAAAAAATGTTACTTATCATAATGAAAGTATACTTTGCCCACCAATCTCTTAACGTTATCACTGCTAATTGATTCTTGCTGTTTGAGAGCCCTGTATGATGACTGGCCTGAGTTAATAGGACTGGGGTATAGATCCAGCTCTGCCAATTGCACAGTCTTTGTCTCATTTCTCTGGTTCTGCCTTTTGTAAGGAAAGAAAATGGAATAAAGTGATCTCTGAAATCCCTGTAGCTATTGAAAGTTAGAGGTGGTACTATATTTACCTAACTCAATTTGTTTGTTTTATTGGTTTTTTTTTTTTTTTTTTTTTTTGGTTTTGTTTGTAAATCTGTAGAGCTTTCATATGCCCATTCATAAAGAACTTTTCATTCAAGAAAAGTTGAGCACGTACCTGTCATGTATTGAGTGCCTCATTAGGTCCTTTCCAGGGACGATCTCAATTATGTCTTGAAGTAGCTGTATGAAATAGGGTTTACTTACCTCCACCTTTTGGTGTAGAAAGTATAGAGTGGAGATTAACATGCCTAAATTTGATGGGCTTGTAAACAGTGTGCGCACACAAGCCTCGGTAGTATTATCAAGCCACACAATGATCTGTTGCCAAGAGGAGCTTCAAATCTAAATGAAGATATGTACCTACTGACTACCTGTTTAATTACCATAATTAGTTCTCATGTGTGTTCTGGGTTACACAGGTTGATTGATGTAAGAAAGAGAGCCACTCTCTGCAGAATGAATTCAGGCTTCTCAGCAACAGGGGGTCAAGCCTCTGAAGGACTGAACTGTTCAATTTCCTAGAAGCTCTTATTGTTACACAAAAAGGCACCTTTAGCCAGTCAGTTTCACCATACCTTGATAGCATCCCAGAAACTCTTTATTGTTATACAAAACCTTACTAAAGGTTTAGTAAGTCAGTTTCTCCGTTCTAAACCTCTTATCTGATCTAGGGGTTGTCTTGAAAGACCCATCACCTCAGCAGTTCTCAGCCATAGGAGACTTCCTGGTTTGCTAGGCCTATCTGGACTAAGTTATGCAAAGCTTTGAGAATCCCTCAAAAGAATAACCACCCACAGAATCTCATAACCATCACTGACAAAGGGCTACTTCCAAGCTTAGGTGCCATCTCTCCAGATTCATGCCAGATAAAATGGTACTGCTAAAATTCTGCTATACTCAAGAAGTAGAAAGTGCTTTGAAAGACTTTTAACAGCAGGAGATGATGCAGATGGATGAAGAACTGAAAGCAGCCAGTACACTGAGGGCAGTGGGGAATTTTGATGTACATAAAAGCTGAGTAAGTGTCTGTCTCATAGGGCTACAGTCAATTCTGGGGAGATTTCATCCTAAACGGGACAAAAGTAAAATGATATTAAGTTATAAAGTTTAAAGAGTTGGCTATAATGGGAAAAGGAACAATAGTGAAAAAAAGTCCAATTAGGAAGCTATTGACAGCAACCTTGTGGGGCTGTTGGATCAAGGTTCATTTGGATTAAGGTATTGACAAAGCTGGAGAGAATTGGATGGCTGCTGTGTAGAGAAATGTTGAGAGGAAGAATTATAAAAAGTGATAGTACAAAAACATTGCTTTCCCTGTGTCATTTTTTTGTCAGCTGAAATTAATTAGTGGTGTTTAAACACTTATTAGTTGGCAATCTCAAAGTGTCTTCAGCCATTTTCATATAACAGTCAAAGGTATCCTAAATGGAACAAAGATTTTCCCCTTAGAATTTCTTGAGAGGGTTGAGGAAGTATACTAGTCCCTACTTTTAGTTTTAATCATAGACTAGGGTGGATCATTTTAATATTTTGGCATAAAGTACATTGTACTGTTGCCCCCTTTGGCATCTGTACACATAATCTGCTTTGAGACACACCTTCCCCCAGAAACTAATGGAGAGTCCCTTATTTTTCTTACCTTCACTGAGTTTGGTCAACACTTACAACCATGAAATAAATGGTTATTTGTCCAGACCTTTCTACTGTAAAGTCTCACAAATACCTACCAGTTGCTCAAGTTTGAAAAGGTAAAATTTATAGTTTCTTTACTGTGCTTCATTTATAAGCTAGGTGGTAAAGTCTTGATCTGAATGATTGCCCTGATTAGCTTGAGGACCAATGCAGCAAGTAGTTAATACTTTAGATGTATGCTGCCTGCCCATGTTGTCCTTGTGTCTGCCGTTGTAGTGGTAAGGTAGCCATAGGAAACACAAGAGGAAAGCAGTACTGTGTTCCCAGAAAACGCCACGTTACAGAACTCTGTTTGGCTCCTTGGCTCTTAGTTTGCTTTCCCTGCACTAACTATTTCCACAGTTGGGATTGTTCTGCCTTCAAGTAATCATATTCCTCTCTTTTTTTCTTTAAATGTCTCCTTTTCAGAAAGGCTGTTCCTGATCAGCCAACCTAAAATAGAATGCCCATTCTTTCCAACTATTCTACTCTTAAAACATGTGGAAACTGAGCTTACCTTAATTGTTTTCATCTTTGAGAACTGTTTCACTTGTGACTGGTGTTTTTTGAATGATGCTCACTAATCCTTGGTTTCTCTTTGTAGCTATGAGAGGATGGTGAGTAACGTGACTCCATCAGCACAGATGGTCCAGAGGTCCTTTTCTTCTCCAGAAGATTATCAGCGGCAAGCAGTGGTAGGCAGTTTTTCTTTCTAGTTTAGTTGCTAGGACAGTCATACTTGGGACAAAATACTCTTGTTATATCAGATAACTTCTCAGTCAGTTTTATTACTTATGTTTGTTAGACATAAATTTACTTTTTATTTTAATTATTAATACTTTTGTCGACTATTTAGACTATCATGATCATTGTAGTTTTAACAATTAACATGTATCTTTTAGACCAACTTTATTGATGTGGTTTTTGTAATATCATGAGACCTAGCCTAAAACCCAAATCAACTATCTTTTGTTGTTTCTTTTCCTTTTTGACACAAGGTCTCACTATATATCTCTGGCTGCCCTGGAGCTCTATATAGACCAGGCTGGCTTTGAACTCACAGAGATCTGCCTGCTTCTGCCTCTAGAGTGATGTGTTTAAAGACATGTCCCAGTTCCCACTCAGTTTTGTCCTCAACCCTTAACAGCTTCTAAGATGAATGACCTATTTCTGCTCCTGTAGTTCTCTTTCTCAGTACCCACTGTATTCTGCTACATGCTTCTTCCTTAAAATGGTTTCTTTTGGTTAAGTTCATTTTCTTAGCATTCAGATGGTATACCACTTTCAAAGCTTTTTCTAATGCTAGTGAAGGTCTAGTTCTTTGTGTTTTTGTTACAGTGGCTCGTAGGGTAGTCATTTTAAGTGATGTTTTTAATTGTATTCTCGGAATAACACAGTATTTATGTCCAGGTTCTGTAAATAGACACTCAAGATGCGAGAAACTGTGGTATTGGACCATATTTAATTACATTCAGTTTGGGATTCATTTAGGCAAGGGTTATTTTGATTTTTCTTATTCTGTATCATTGGCTAAATATATGTATATTGACTTTGCTATCAAAAAGTACTTAGAATTAATATTTCAATTTTTTCTTCCCTCAGATGAACAGTGTTTTCAGACAGATGTCATATGTTGGGAAATTTGGTTCTCCACATGCAGATCAGTCGGGATTTTCACCATCAGTTCAGCCACATGGTCATAGCTTTAATCAATCTTCTAGCTCCCAGTGGCGCCAAGATGCACTGTCATCCCAGCGTAAAAGACAGAATTCTCACCCCTACCTAGCAGATAGACACTACAGCCGTGAGCAGCGCTACTCTGATCATGGGTCTGACTATCATTACAGAGGAAACAGAGAGGATTCCTACTATGACGACAGGAATCGTGATGGCTGGAGTCATGACTATGACAACAGAAGGGACAGTAGAGGTGGGAAATGGCCCTCATCTCGACACTAACAAGCATTCCAAGGACATTGTTTACAGGGCCATTTTAGGTCCTTTTAATTAAGTTCTTCCAGAAGTATTTCTAAAAATTGTACAGAGTTGCCCCACGATTTGCCACCTGTCTTTGAAAAAAAAATTTTTTAAAACCTAGCAGCAGTTTCATGGAGAACCAACAGCTGGGCTCCTTGTTTGTTACTCTTAATTACCTTACCTCTGGTTTCTGAAGAGGAAGGGTTTTATGAAAGAATTTGCCACTATTCTGGTCATTTCAGACAGTCTAAGAAAGAAGAACTGTATAGATTGGTTGTATTATAAAGCAAATATTTTAATTATCTCACCCTTATTGTTGCAAGAAATTTTGTAATGTGTCATTTTGGTGAATATAATAAGCATCCAAGTTGGTAGTCTGAAATGGCTTTCTGAATTTTGTTAACAAATGAAAAAATAGAACTTTCAGTAATCCATTTATTAATAGTTTATTTAAAACAATTTATTGGTTTTGTTTGGGGATAAGTCATATTTCTTAACTCAGAATTTAAGTACAAATTTTGTGGTAGGCTCTTGAATTTTACCACAATTGAACATACATTATAAATCTATACTAGTTCATTCTAAGAACTTTAAAATTCTGTCATTAAATTATATTTGTTGTATGACTAGTCGCTCAGGAAGTTAAATACCTTCATGTATATTTTTACATTAAATGACATGACGAAAACTTTTTAGAGGAACAACAATGTTAATACACAGAGAAAATGGCAAAAGGTTTCAGTGCAAGGCTTATAATTTTGAATTTCTGTTTAACAAACCTAAAATGTTTCAAGATCCTGTTGCTCTTCCACTGCAAAATCTTTTTTGAGGAATTTGTTCCATGAAAAATTTAGGATCCTCTTTATTACCACAGCATTTATACTATGTTCCTTAATATATTAAATCCATAAAAAGATTATGTGTCTCTTTATTTTTGTATCACTGACATCAGCGGTATCCAATAACTTAGTATACCTTCAGTCATGTCAGTTCACACTGCTAGGTAAGGTTGTCCATCTTACAGCTTCTGTAGATTTACTGTGCAGCACAGCTAGACTTTTATCAAAATAGATTCCTTTGTTTGCTTTCTACATCCAGTTGTTCTACATGTCCAGGCTCTGTTAACAAAGCTGTGTCCCCACTTGTAGAGTCAAGTTTTTCTTCTTTTAATTGTTTACTTAAGCAGGATTATTTCTAGGTATCTACATGGAAAGTTGGTAGATATTGGTTTGGACTAAGTCAGGTTAGTCCACAGGTGATTAGAATAATCTTGGACTACTAGCTTTTTGTGGGGCAAGCTTTGGAAGATCCAGTGAGTATTTCCCTTTGGTTTTACCCAGTTGAACCAACTAAACTAAATACCTGTATTTTGTAAACAGGGCAAGTGAGCCTTGGGATTCAAGATAGACAACACTGGAAAGCTCCATTACTATAACCTAGGAATCTCTCTTTTAAAAGAATTGCTATACTTTAGTGTCTAGGGTGTACCCTAAAATCTCAGGGGTTTGGGGATTTTGGTGTTAGTATTCTTAAAAACTGCAGCGGGGCCAGGGAGGCTGTAGTTACAGCGTTCCTGTTGAATTCCCATTGGATTTTTGTTTATTTTTAAATTGATAGGTGGTCTGTATCTGTCACTAAGTTAGCATACAGAGGTAAGTGATGTCGAAGGAGAGGTTTATTACAGGAATGGAAACTTATATTTTTGATTGCCAATGTACTAATTTGCTGGCATACATCTGTTGATGGGTCCATTAGACTATCAGTTGAAAAGGACAACTACAGAGCAAAAACTGAACAGAGAGGAACTGGAAAAGACTTAAAAACTAAATTGAGCTTTCATCTTTCTCAGTCTTAGCTATAGAGCTACAAAGATCTGTGTCCCACGTGACACAGGCTAGAAAAATCTAAGACTGCCCACAGCAAACTAAGCCGGTCAGTAAACAACACGTAAAGGGCTAATACGCCTATTCCCCTGCAATGCCTTCCAGATTCTAAGAACCATGCTTGCTGCTCCCCTTTTGTTTCTTCCTTGTATCTGTGAGAAAATACCTGTCAGAAATAAAGTGGGAGGTTTATTGGTTCACATTTCTAGGGGCATTTTCATCTGCCATGGAATAGAAAGCATAGCCAATCAAGCTACCTGTCGTTTGTTGGTCTGTTAGAGAGTAGGAGGTTTGGTACAGTGGGTCCATAGTGGTAGGAATATGACAGCTACTTGTTCACTTAATGATCAAGAAGTACTTCTAAGGACCGCCTGGGTCCCCAGGGACTTAGCTTCACTGTACCTACCCTACCCTCTAAAGGTTCAAAGCCCCAGTCGTGCCACTGACTGGAGACCCAAGTGTCCAAACACTCCTGTGAAGGATAATTTGTCTTTGAGAACGATAAAACCTTTCTCAGTTGTTGGTATAATGTCTTTTAAAATGTATACGCCTTACCCTTGTTAATTCAAATGCTGATTTTTCCCACCCCCAACTCTCTGGTTTCAATCCAGATACTGCATTGTGATACTCATTATAAGCATCCTGTCTCAACTCCGTGTAAACAGGACAAAATAAAGCAACTACATACAATGTTGTGCAATGGGAGGAGCCAGAGGACAGGAAAGAGGGGAGGAGCCAGAAGGCAGGAAAGGAGGAGAGAGGAGAGCAGAGCTGGAGGAGAGAGTTTGGAGGACTTGGAGCATGAACCAGACCTACAATTTCACAAAAAGCAAGTATAATGTGGGAAATCTAAATGTTAGGAAACTGAGGGCTTGGAGGTTTAGGAGGGAGTAAATACAGCATTGTGTTCTAGGTTAACTAAAAACCCAGTCTCTGTGGTGATTTGGTTATACAGCTGCTGAGGATTAATAGCAAAATTACTAGAAGATAAAACAATAGTAAATATTAATCTTCGACTACAACACTCAATGAACTAGAGTCCCAGAAACTCAGTAACAAAAGCTGCCCATGTCAGTAGCTTTCAGGTTCTTGTCTCAAGTATTCAAAAGATGAAACTTAGAGGTCAAAGTTTATTACAAATTGGTAGGTGGGACTTTTAGCCAGAGAAAGAAAGAACAGAGCTTCTGAATAGCAGGTGTCCCAGGAAATAAGAGTACAGAGAGCTGTTAGTCTGGGCACTTTTTTAAGAGACAGACAGCAGCTGGGTGAGTCGGGAGAGTGCTGTGGTCAGGACAGGTGGCCCAGCCAGGTCCCTCATCCTGATTTCATTCTCATTCCAGCCTTTAGGCAAAGGAGGAAACAGGAACCGGATCTCTCTTCTAATGTTCTTGGCCTCTAGCAAGGGCATTCTGAGAATTGCTGCCTTGCAGTCCCTGGCCTACCAGGCCAGTTTCCATCTCTTCTCATAGAAATTTATTTTTGGTCAACAGCATTGGTATTCTAAGAGTAACTTCTTATAGTTGGACCAAAGTTCTGGTAAAGTCTTCTTGAGACTACCCTCAATTCAGGCATGAGCCCAACATGTAGAAACTCCCATGCCACCCAAAGGTCTGACCAATTGGCTACGGAGTTCAGGGATTTCCATAATATCTTAAGCTTTGATAGTTTTCCTACAAAGACCCGGAATTCAGGAAAGAACTACATACAATGATACAATTTTTCTATAGCAAACAGGTGAAAGTTAAAACCAGTCCCCTGAGGAGATGCATAAAGGCAAGGACAGGCTGACAAGTCTCAGAAGTGAACCTTTCATGTTTTCTCTCCTTGCTTCAAGTTAGATCACCTTCCTAGCAAAGCAGAGCACTTTATCAGCCAGGAAATATGTCTGAGCTTTTGTCCATCCAAAATCTATTGGAGGGCAGGAAAAGATGGCTCAGCAGATAAAGGCACTTGCTTTTATCTGACAACCAGACAACCAGAGCCTTTTCCCAGAATGCACATTAAGATGGAAGGAGAAAATGCACACCAAAGAGTTTCCCAACCTCCACACAGGTGGCATGGCACAAACACTGACATATACACACTAATAAAGTTGAACATTTTTCAGTTTGTAGTGGAGTTCCATTAAGTAATCATCATCAATTGAGTTTTTGGCCGTGTGATTGAACTCAGTCTCCAGGCCCCTTTTCTCCCAAGAGGTTCAGACTAATATGCCGCTCAGAGCCCCAACCCTGTAATCAAATGGTTGACCTTTGCATCCTGGCCTGGTCCTATTCTGAAGGTCCCATCTTGAGTCACTTCTGTAATATAAACTTTCAATATTTACCATTTGAAGATAATAACGAACATAAGTCTACATTGAGGGATTCCAAGAATTTAGTTTTTTTCCAAGAGGAACAAAGGCCCCAGTTCTTTACACCAAATATAAATAGAAACTATTAATAAGGTGGAAAATTCTAGAAACCATCATCCTAAATTGAGCTTGCACAAAGCTACTGCGGTACCATCAAATCTCTCACCCAACCCTATCAAGAAGATACTATTTGGAGTACTACAAATAGTTTACTATATTCTCACTTCAAAAAGTTCAACACAAAGAAGTGGGGGAGTGGACAGCAAGAACCTGGGATAGGGAGTTGGCAGGGAAACAGGAGACATTACTTAAAGGATATGTTGTAATTTTGTTTCCCATTGCTGTGATAAGATACTTGGACAAAAGTAACTTTAGGGAGAAAGGTTTCATTTTAGCTCACAATTTCTGGTTACAATCTACAATTGTTAGGAAGTCGAGGCAGCAGGAACTTGAAGCAGCTAGTCATGTTATTTCATGCCGGAGCCCGCTGGCAGAGAGTCAAACAGTTCCTGAGTGGGGAGTGAGGATTGAAATAATTAAAGCAAGTCAAACACATGGGATCAGCTCTGGAGGGCTGTCAGTAAGACTGCCACATGAATTTATTCCACAATTCCTTTTAATAGACAAATCAAAAACAAGTCACATCAATACAAGAAAAAAGTTCGTGAAACTGCCAAACTTGTTTTCTAAAACTACTTCCCTGGAGCAGATACGGTCTAAGATCACACAAACAAGTTTTAAGGAACTTGGTGAAACATCCTCATATCTCTTGTGTCAAAGTGAAGGCCAGGGTGAAAACATGTTTTTCCGCTGAATAATCAATATCATAGTAGCTTGACAAACCAGCAGCTCTCCACAGTTTCCACAGTCCAGAGCAGAGGGGCATGAATGAACGTATTTCTCTGCTCTTTACAAACCAAAATTTCTTGCCTAAGGAATGGTGCCACACAGTGGGCGGGTCTTCCCACTTAACGTAATCAGGGTAATCTACCAAACACATATTCATGCTCATCCTGACTGAAATATTCTTCTGAGGTGGTTCTAGATTGTGCCATGTTGACAAAATTAAATAGTGGGGCTAAAGAGAGAACTCAGTTCTTAAAGAATAATGTGCTGATCTTCCGGGACCAGAGTTTGGTTCTTAGCACCTGTATTGGGCAGTTCACAATACCTAGTCTGTAACTCCAGCTCCTGGGGAATCTGACAACTTCTTCTGGCCTCTGTGGGTGCCCACATACATTTGGCATACACATAAGCGTACATACATACAAATAAATAAAAATAAATCTTAGAAACAACCCCTTACCCCAGACCCTAACTGCAAGGATACAGTATCAGCTTAGGACACCCCAAGACCAAGTTCTCAGTACAAAGGAGATTTATTTTCCCAGAGGAACAAAGGACAAGGAATAAGAAAAAAAAAAACAAAAAACAAAACAAACAAAGAAAAAAGACAGGAGGGGGACAAAGGGCTGCCTCTAGATAGGAAAAGACTTGGCCCTTAGGAAAATGGCAGTTTATAAAGGTAAAGGGGGAAATCCCGTGTTAGGATGAGATGTTTAATTTTAACTGGACATGTTAATTAGGTGAGCCAAAGGGGCCTTTTGATTGCTGGACTTCAGTATTTTGATAGCTGGACCTTGGTAGTCAGCCTCTGGAGGAAGTGGAATAATAAGGGAAT